TGTCTTGGCGGACCTGGAGCCCCCCCAAACGGCCCCATCGTGCTGTGCGCAATCTGTGTGTGAGGGAGAGGGCTAGAGCGAGAGAGGGACAGAGAGAGAGAGAGAGAGAGAGAATCGAGCGAGAGAGCGAGCGAGAGAGCGAGAAAGAGAGAGAGAGAGAGAGAGAGAGTGAGAGTGTCAGGGAGAGAGAGAGAGAGAGAGAGAGAGAGAGAGAGAGAAAGCGAAAGAGAAGCAGAGACATAGAGTGAGAGAGAGCGAGGCGGGGGGAGGAGAGAGAGAGGCACATATATAATGAGAGAGAGGGAGCGAGGAAGAGAGAGAGAGAGAGAGAGAGAGAAGAGAGGGAAGAAAGGGAAAAAGAGACAGAGAGAGTGAGAGAGAGGGATGGGGGAGAGAGAGAGAGAGAGAGACGCGGAGAGAAAGAGCGATAGAGAGAGAGAGAGAGAAATGGGGGCAGGAGGAATAGATGATGATGAGGATGATGATGATGATGATGATGATGATGATGATGATGATGATGATAATAATAATAATGATGATGGTGATGATTATGATGATGATGCTGATGATGCTGATGATGATGGTGGTGGTGATGATGATGCTGATGCTGATGTTGATGCTGATGCTGCTGATGATGATGATGATGGTGGTGGTGGTGGTGATGACGATGATGATGATGATGATGAGGAGGAGGAGGAGGAGGAGGAGGAGGAGGGCCGTGGTGCAGGCCGCGGCCAGCGGCCCCAGCCCCAGCCCCTCCCACCCCATCCCTTACTATTGCGTTCGTTTGCCATAGCGAATTAGGAGCCACCCACAGGGCCCCAATGTGTCGTGCGCAGTCACAAAGAGGGAACTGCGTACATTGAAGGATGATGTGGCGGATGAGTAGGAAGATAAGCCGGAGGATATTGATGAGGATGAGTAAGGAGAAAGACGAGGAGGAACAGCAGCAGCAGCAGCAGTAGCAGCAGCAGCAGGAAAAAGAGCGGGAGAATCGGGAGGAGCAGGACGACCGAGGGAAGGCGAGGGAGGGAAAAGGAGCGGGGCGACAGCGATGAGGAAACATTCGGATCCAGAAAGGTGGCCCACGCTAGGGCGAGAGCGACACTTTGAACGATGGGAGTAAGATGCCGCTCCTAAAGTGACGCCACTGCTGCAGCGGGAACACCACATTATACCATATTGCGACACCGAAGACACTCCGAGTGAAACAGCCATAGGAACGACCAAACAGTATAATCTGGTGTGTCAAAATATTCAGTACGCGGAGGGGGGCGGGCCACTCCCCAGCCATCCTCGGAGGAGACTGAAGAGTAGTATTCATTTGCCCCAAACAGTGCTTGCACTTCGGTGTTCTTATTTCTTTTCTAAGAAACTGGGCCGTTGTGGCGGTCTGGCGGTCATATTGTCGCCATCGCCGCCCCGTCGCCGCCTCGTCGCCGCCCGTCGTCTGGGCCAGTGTGGCGGTCTGACGGCTATGGTGTCGCCGTCGCCGCCCCGTCGCCGCCCCGTCGTCTGGGCCGTTGTGGCGGTCTGGCGGCTATGTTGTCGCCGTCGCCGCCCCGTCGCCGCCCGTAGTCTGGGCCAGTGTGGCGGTCTGGCGGCTATGTGGTCGCCGTCGCCGCCTCGTCGCCGCCTCATTGCACAACGTAAATCGCACCGCATATTTTGCACCACGTAGATCGCACCACATATTTTGCACCACAGAGTGCGCAAGACTGATTCCACAACATATATTGCCCAACATAGATTGCACAACATGTATTCTCTTTTCTAAAAAGAGAATAGACTCTACCCCCCCCCGGACTTAACGCTTCCCCCAGGGATAGTATAAATTCATTATATATTTATATATATATATTATATGATATATATATTATATATGTTCTGCACACTCGTCCATCCTAAATATGAAATCATACCATCCCAGGCAGGCCGGTTCCCCCCCCCCTGAGGGTCCCTCGTAAAAAAACACTATGCGGTGACATTTTTTGTTCAAACATAGCACTTTTTCACGAATCCCTTGCAACAAATGAGACGAAGTGCACACGCGCGCGTCGTCGCGCGCGCATGCCGAAATCCTTCAAAAACCTACGGTGCTGGAAGGATTTCGCAATCGAGTTTCCAAAAAACATACAACAACACAGGGTTTCACAACACTGATTTGCTAAAAAGAACTTCCGCGCGAGCTCTTGCGAAATCTTAAGAAAACCATGGGTTTTTCAAGATTTTCACAAAATGCTACAAAACGGGCTTCGCGAGCGCGCATGTCGAAATCTGTCGAACGCCCTTGCGCGTGTGCCGTCGCGAGAATCCTCTGCAAAAAACGGGACGAAGTGCAGACGCGCGCGTCGTCGCGGGCGAATGCCGAAAACCTTCAAACCCCATCGGTTTCGGAAGGATTTCAAAATCGTGCGTCCAAAAACCTACAACAAAAACCCAGGGTTTCGCAACACGGATTTTCAACAAAAGCGTGCGCGCGCGCTCTCTTGCGTCGTCG